CGTGCTGTGTTCCAGCCCGAGCCCTCTTTCCCATCCCATCCCGCAGCACCTTAGGATGCCAGGCGCCCTTCACAGGCCCAGCGGACCCCCGCCTCGCAGGCCGGCAGTTCCGCTCTGCGGACACCGGGGGGCGCCCGTGCCATTCCGCCGCCGCCGTGGACCCGCCGGCAGAAGGGCGAACAAAGATGCGATTTAAATCAAAGACTTTAAAATGCAGCCCCGAATTTCTACCCTGAGCAGCACGCGTGTAAAAATTCATGAAGATTGGATTTCATTTCATGTAGTTTTACTCCCGTGGGAAGAACTGCAGGGGATTCTCTGACGGCCTCCAGCCGTCTTGACAAAGCGGGTGCCCGGGCCCACCGCGGGGAGGGCCGGGTGGGCGCGGTCGGTGCCGGGGATGGCGTGTCTGCTGGGGGGCGTCCTGGGCATTTGAAGACGCGTGTCGCTCTGGGTCCGCCGAGGGACGTGCGTCACGGAGGGCACTTATCGTGATGAAGCACAGCGCCCTTCTTCAGCCCTTCAAAACCAGGGGCGCGGAGAGGCTGCTTGCAGGGCGTGTGAGACCTCCCTGTTTCCCTGCGGCGCCCCTTAGTGCGTTTGGAGGCGTGCGTGCCAGGGCGCAGGGCGACCTGGGTGGCAGAGGCCCTCAGAGGCTGCTGGACACGGACCAGGTCAGCTCAGCCCTGAGGATGCTCCATTCGGGCCGCGGCCCCAGTGGATGGGGACCTTGGGTGGGGCTGTTGGGGATAGGGGCGCTGATGTTCCGGACAGGCCTGGGCCCAGGCGTGGCTGCAGTCGGCCTGGCAGTCCACCCCGCACAACCCCAGAGGCTGCCCAGCTTGCCTCCAGCGGCATGTAGCATCGCGGCCGTTCTGGAATACCACATTGAGCGGGACAGAGCGGAGGCGGCCGAGAAGTCTGTGGGTCCCTGGTGGCCCTGGCTGTGGCTGAGCCGTGGGGTGGGGTGGGGGGCGCACGGGGAGTTGCAGGGGTGGTGGTGGAGAGGAGTGAGGACTGGTTGGAGGGTTGGGGTGGGGCGAGGGGTGGGGGGCAGGCACAGCGATGCGCAGGGCTGTGGGGATGCGGAAGCCATGGAGCCTTCAGGGAGCACTCGGAGGTGTCTCTGGGGGCAGGAACGGTTGGTGCTGCATACTGAGGGCCTTTCTCCATCCTTCCTCCCCACTGCCTGCGTTGCAGCCAGCCTTTCCACTGTTTCCATAGCAACCCTGGCCCAAGGCTCTGCTGTGGGTCAGCTGGGCAGTGGGGCCATCTCAGGCATGAGCAGTCAAGGGACCCTGAGCTGTCCTCACAGAAAGGTGGGATGCGGGCTCCCTGTCCTTAGAGAAAGGGCGGGCGATGAGCTGGAAGCTGCTCTCAGGGTGGGTGGCAGTGGCTTTGCTGACAGAGCCCTATCACCCTGGCTCCTCCTTGGCACTGCCATACCTGCACTGCTCACGCCCCAGGCCCCACCCAGGCCCCCGGGAAGGACACAGGCCTGATCCAGCTTCCTGATGGCCTGGGGCAGGGGGTGGAGGGTAGGGTGAGGGGCAGGGGGGTGTTGGGGTTGGCACTACCGGTCACCCTGCTTGCTCCTCTAAAGATCAGACAACCAAAGTCAGTCCCTTAGATTCAGGCTTCTGGGAGTGTTTCCTTCACCCACACCCACCCCCAACACACACACACACAAGTGTGCAAGCGGGCCAGGGACCTTGTGCTTGCTCGCAGCAGGGCCTGGGGAGCCTCAGCCTCCAGTCCAGGGCCAGTGTGAGGGCTTCTTCCCCGCACCTTCTTCCTATGGCTCTTGAAGGCCAAGAAGGCCGAGGGACTGGGGAGGACAGCCCATTCTTCCCCAAGTCCCAAGAGCTCTTGGGGATTTCAAAGGGGCAGTGAGATTCAGGGATGATTCAGGCATGCAAATCTTGGCCCTCTGGGCTGGAAGGAGAATTCTCACACCAACTCTGGAATAGCTTTCAGCCTGGGTCCTCTCCCTGCGTTCCAGTTCCCACATCAACTCAACAGCAGCAGCCAGACAAGAAGGGCCATGGGGGCAGTGGCGTACAGTTTACAATACCTTGGATTAACATAGCACCTTTTTCTTCTAAAGGCCCTTTGCCTCTGTCCCCTCAGTCGTTGCAGCCATGGGGACACACAGTGCAGCACCTGCAGTGGGGCAGGGAGACTGAGGCAGAGGCCTAGAAGTGAATTCATGCAGACTCAGGGGTATCCAGGGATGGGGGTGGGGGTCCCCTCCCTGGGAAGGCCTGGCCTTGGCTCTGGGAGGGTGTGGCGGGGGCTGGCGACTGGGAACCCAGCTCCTCACTGGGCATTCACTTGGTACTTGAGGATGTAGGAGTAGAAGTTGTGATTGGCATTCTCCAGCACCATGACGTAGACTTCTTGGCAGCCGGCTGTGCTGCAGCTGCCCTCCCAGAAGCCCTCGCGGTTCAGGGTCAGGGGCCACGTGTCCTGCCCTTTCACCAGGGCCTTGGCGATCCCGTGCAGCTTCAATTTGAATGCGACGTTCCGGTTGGCGGGCAGCACGCCCGACAGAGGCTCCAGCAGCTCATTGTCCGGCCCCCAGTTGCCGAAGCTCTCGGGGAACATGGGCCAGTTCACTTTGGTGTTGGTGCAGGACACGAGGTAATTGAAGACAAAGATGTAGTTGCCCGGCTCCTGCCTCTTCTTGACAAAGATCTTGAGGGCAAACTTGCCTGCGCGGGGCAGCTGGACCTTGAGCTCCGTGCGCTTCTCTCGGTGCACCTGGAAGATGTAGCGCCTCTGCATCTCCTCCGTCATGGGGCCCTCGTCCCCGTGCAGGGAGGCCAGGACGCTGACGCCCTCGTCCACGCCGAAGCTGACGGCGCAGCGCCCGTCGGTGGTGTGGATGATGGGGTGGGAGTGCGAGGGCTTCACGATGCCCATCTGCTCCGAGAACCAGCTGGGGCCCACGGGCTGGTGCAGCTCAGAGGGCAGCTGGGCCCCTAAGTCCACGTAGTTGCACTTGAGGGTGTATTCCAGGACAGCGCTGTAGATCTCGGAGCCGCCCTTGGCAAAGATCTGCAGCTGGTGGGTGCCCGTGGTTGGGGGGTACACCTCCAGCCTCATGCCGTTCTCTCGCAGGCTCAGCAGCCCGTGCTCCTGCTTGCCGTTGAGCATGAACATGAAGAGCGTGGGCGCACAGCTCTCGAGGGTGACCGTAGCCTTGCCGTTCACTGTGGGGACAAAGTCAGGGCCAGGTGAGACGGGAGCAAGAGTCAGGGGCGGCGCCTGATTTTCCTGCCTCTTCGAGACCCCCATCTGTGGGATGCCATGCGGTGCTGGGGACCAGATCATCAATACATTCACCACGACCACCCTCTGCAGCCCTCCGCGGAGGGGGCCCGTGACCCACTTTGGGTGGTCCTCTTCTAGCGAGCTGGGAAGCTGGCTGCAAACCCCACCCACTGAATCACGTTCGTAAAAAGGTGCCTGGAAGTGGAACTTGGACCCTGAGCCCCTCTGGGTTGCTCAGGTCTGTGTACACACTTCTAGTAGCCGGGTGTCAGTGTTAACAACAGCTGTCAGTCTTCACCGTTTCGCTGGTTGGAGACAATGGTCAGGGAGTGGGGTCGCTTCCCTCTTCCCTGCCTCACCCCTGCCCCTCAATCCTCACACAAGCATGTCTTGGCTATAATCCCAAGCCTCTGCCCCCACCCTTGCTCTGTGACTCCACCTTCTTCTGTCCCCCTCACTGTTTCCCAGGGACGGGTGGTCAGACCTGGCCTTGGCGTCCACGAGCCCTCACCACACTGGTCCCTCCTCCTGGCCTCAACCGTGACTCTCCTGAGCACCTTGCCTGCCTCTCTCTCAGCAGCAGCTCAGGGCCCCAGGTCCAACCAGCCTCCCGCCCAGATGGGAGCAAGGAAGGGGACAGCTTCCTGGGCCCTGCACACCTGTAACTCTTCCTCACTGCAGGGTTAGGTGCTCACACAGGGGAGACAGACAGCTCGGACCCTGGGGTGGGGTCCTTGAGACTGTCCCCCTAGCCTGCCGAGATGCCTGTGGTTCCAGGCTGCTCAGCTACTGTACTCCATGACAACCCCCAAAGTTCTACCTTCAGGGTGGGGCATTGAGTCACCACCCAGGCCAGCAGGGCAGGGACTGGCATTTCTATCCTTCCTCTCCTATTGATGGTCTTCACTTCAAAGCCTGCCCAGCCAATTCCTCACTCACCTTACATTCCCAGCCTACTCAAGGGGGCACCTCTATCTTCACCCATCAACGGAAAAGAAGCAAGGAAACACTCCCTTACTGGCATGTCGCGTCTGAGCCATAGCGACGTGTGCGTCAGAGTAGAACTGGGTTCAACAGGGTTTCCGTGCTTTATTTCTCAGAATGAGATCACCAGGCCTTTCTGCTGCAGTGCTCCTGGGTGGGCTCAAAGGATTTCGCACCATTTAGGGACTCCCTCTGCCCGGGGGCTCTCTACAAGCTGGCCCCCACTTTCCAGTGACTTCCAAATAACCAAATCTCTTGAGCCTTAAGGTTCCACATTGTTGGCCACCCCCTCCTGGAAGTCCTCCCAGCCTGTATGACCCCCCACCCCCTGCCAGCTAGCTGGTTTCCACGGCCACTCACCTCCTGTCTGTTTCGGTAACTGGGGACGCCCAAGGCTTTAGGGCTCTGTCCTTTGCCTGCTCCCATCACTGGGCTTTCAGCTACCTTGAGGCCCACCCCCCAGGGGAGCCTCAAAGGAAAGCCACCAAGAACAAAGGCTCAGGACTCTCTCTTGCTTGAAACACCCCCGCCCTCCCTCACTTCCTCTTCTAGCTCAGCCCCTGGTCCTCATGGCCTGTCTTGCACCAGTGCTGCCTGTGGGCAGGTCTCTCCTGCACACAGTGAGACCCAACTAAGCTGAGTCATTTTAGGGCTATGGTAGGGACACCCACTGGGCCACTCCTGGGCTTGTCCCCTTCTGCGGCTCCCACCAACCTGGGGGCCATGGGAGGGCCGATCCCCGCCTACCTCAGCAGCACCTGAGCCCTCCCTCTTGGCCCCCGGTCTTCTTTCAGATCCTCCGGGGACCCCCTCAGTTCTCAGGGCCCTCAAATACCTGGGTCCCTCTTTTGCCAATGCTTTGCCTTCCTCCTCTCTTCCCCGCACTCCCTGATCAGGCCCCAACTCCAACCTTCTGGCTACAACGAAGCCATTCCCAATCTTTCCAGAGGAGCCTGGGGTCCCTGCAGGCTGCCCCAGTGCAGGTCCCTTCTCAGGGAGCTCACTGCCATGCTGACCACCCTGTGGACCTTTGGTGTGGTGTCCGGGCTGTGGTTCCATGTGGACTGTGGTTGCGCCCATCTCATTTCTTGCCCTGTCCTAGTGCCTGCGCCCAGGGTTGGACCCAGAAGGTCCTTGGTCAAGTGTGGTGAATGACCGGAAGAGGGACATAAGGGACGGGCCCCTTGGTAGAACCTGAAGGAGCCCCTCTTCTTGGCCTCCTGGGTGCTTGCTCTCAGCTCTCAGTGCGTCTCCCCTCTGCCATTCTCCCTTGCCATTCCCCCCACCCCAGTCCTCCACCCCTCCCCTGTCCCCCTACTTTTGCCCACTCCATTTTCCTCGTGTGCCTCTTCCCCAGTCCCACCCTTAATTTGCTACAGAAGAATTATTCTTTAAATATGAATTGCGTATATGAAATCAAATTTTATGCTACTGTAACTGAAGATAGCAATGGTAGCATTTGCGTAGTTCCGTTGTTTGCAGGGCTGGAACGGAACTGACCGGACAGGATTTCATTCTGCTGTGCACAGGGTCTCTATGAGTCGGGGGTGAACTGAGGGTGGTACCTACAGCAACATAACTGAAGAATTCCGGTGTGAAGGTGATTCTATGTCTTGAAGAGGCCCCCTTGGCCCCCTGGCATCTGCTCTCTGCTGCTGTGGCCTGGATCCATGGCCCTGAGCAGACAGCAGAGGCTCTGCCCTGACGGGCACATGGGAAGAGGATTCTCAAAGGGAGCAGCTTCAGGCTGTGATTTCCGCAGCAGGAGCTGCCAGGCATTCTTAGGACGAGAGCGTTTAGGCACTTGGTTAAGGAAACCACTGTGAGGCAGTTGGGCCAAGTCAGCTGGAATGAACTTGGGACCACCTGCGGTCACTCGGTGGTGTGTGTGTGTGTGTGTGTGTGTGTGTGTGTGTAGACAGGGCAGGGAGGCCTGACGAGGCTGACTTCCACTGCATCTCACAGCCTGTCTGAACCTGAAGGCAAGGTCACACCCTCTGCAGACCCTTGTCTCAGGCCACTGCTGTGTCCCTGCCTCTTCCCTGTTCTTTTTGTCTCGGACCGTCCATCCCCATCTGCCTGGAATGCCAGCTCTCTTCCTTCTCCCAGGGCGCTGCCCGGCAGCCACCTCCTCCAGCCCCACCCTCTGAGGTACACCTGTCCCACGGGCCCTGGGAGGCCCTGCCCTCCTCGGCTAGCTGGCTAACACTGATGCTTTGCCTGGTCACTGCATGCTCTCTGCCCGGCATATTGGCTGCTGTGGGCACTCGGCCTGGGGGTGGGGGGCTTAAAGCCCCCACCATATGCAGGCTCCTGACCAGGTCCCTGGGCGGGCAGGGGGTAAATATGCCCCCCTCCCCCCATCCCCTTGCTCTCTTCTCCAGCTCCTGCACATGGGAGCTGTGCCTGCCACCTGCCCCACAGCCACCACACAGAGGCCCTTAGATAGCCCCGAGTGGGCACTCACTCGCCCCACCTGTTCTGATCATGGGGGTGTCCGGGTGGGCGCTCAGCATTCCCTTGTTGTAGAATTCACTCTTGTGATACATGCTGTTCTCAAACTGCTGCAGGGACTGCGCAGGCTTCAGCAGCTGCCAGTTCTTGTTGTCCGGGAAGTGGTCCTCGATGAACAGAGCCGGGTGCGTGAGGAAGTAGAATTCGTTGTAGCTGCAGTGAAGGGAAGGCTGGTGAGGAGCCTGCAGGAGGGGGTCTGCAGAGGGGCTACTTTCGGTTGACACACCCATAGGGGGGTCACCCAGGAGTTCCCGTGAGAAGAGGCACCGTCTCTGATCTTTGGCGGATGCTTCCAGAGATAGGTACCAAGATGAGGCCCAAGACCACCTTCCCTAAGGGGAAGCCCCAGCCCACAACCATTGCCCATGCAAACTTCCTAGGGGTCTCAGAGCCTAATGGGGATGTAAAGGGAGCAAAGAGACAATACCCCCTCCCCACCCACCGGGAGTCAGGCAGGGGGGTTTCGAGAGGGCAAGGAAGAAAAGTGGTTGAGCTCACTTCCTCCTCCCACCATCTCTCCCCATTCTGACTACTGCTCTGAGGCTGGGGGGCAGGGTGGGGTGGTGGGAGTAGGCAGGGGCTTCTGTTGTCCCCTGGGGAGGGGGTATCACAGGCTCATTCTGAGGTGAGTGAATGCTAGTGGACACCCGTGGGCATTTGGGCTATGTCTGGTGGAGTATGGATACCTCAAGGTCAATATTTAAGAATTAGGGGGAACTTTGGTTTTTCTCTGACTACAAAGGATTCTAAGGGCTGACAGATAATCGTGTCCCTGATGAAGGCTATGACCTTAGGTCGCAGTGGGGAGGAGGGCAGAAATGCCACAGCCCCCTCAGCAGCCCACACCCACCCGGCTGCCATCCTGCCCCAGAGACAGCCCTTCCCCACAGAGCCTTTGTGCTGTCCTCCTCTGCGATGGGACACAGGTCCTATGCAGCCCAGAGCCGAGGCCCCATGGGAGGGAATCCCAGCCCCTCACAAAGTCACAGTGGGTGGGCCAAAGGCCTGGAGGGCCCACAGACAGACAGGTAAAAGCTCAGCCCTGCCTTCCTTACAGGTGGCTTTTGGCAAGGGTTGGCAGCTTTGGCAGAGAGGGGTGTGCCTGTAGGGGGTGAGGGGTGGTCGGCCACCAGGTGGGGGCCCATTCTGGCGCTCACCCTTTCCTGCTTCCAGCCTCCCCCCTCCCCCATTTCCACTGTCTGGGTGCCCAGCAGAACTGAGAGTGGCACTCACAGGAAGGTGAACTTGGAAGTGGTCTTGTCCACCAGGCCGCTGCCCCAGGTGCTGTCCACCAGGTGCCACCTCCCCTCCAGGTACACAGCGTTCCAGGCGTGGTCAAATTCCCCAGAGAAGCTCTGGCCTGTCTGGTAGCCAAAGCCCTTGGAGTAGCCAGGTACCGTCAGGCACTGCACGCCGGCGATCCTGCGGGCAGGACAGGCCCTGAGAGGCTGCTCGCCGGGCTCAGCCTCCCAGGCCCTATGTAGGCCAGGCCCTCTGTGTCTTCTCCTCCCTGCCTTTCACCTGGGCACATACTTTCAGGTGCAAGGGCTTTCATCCTCAGGGACTGGGTACTGGGGACTGGGGGCCCAGGGTTCCCTCTTCCCTTGAGGCTGTCCAACTCAGTTCTGAAACGCTTCTTCCAGGAGTTCGCCTGCCGCATGAAAAACAATGGAACCAGGGAGCTAACTCCATTCCTGGATCACAGCCTGCACGCCGGGATGAGCACAGGCGGAGTGAATCTGTGTGTGTGTGTGTGTGTGTGTGTGTGTGTGTGTGTGTGTCTGGGGAGCTGGGTCTAGGCGACATGGGAGGAGGTCACGGAGGGGCGCTGGGCATGTGGGTGCAGAAGAAAGCTGAGCCGTCCTGCCTCTGATAAGTACTGGGAATCCAAAAGGTAGGGTTCACTTGGAGCCCGGGTACAGGGTGAGACCCTGAGGCAGGCAAGCCAGGATTCCTGGGACCTGTCCTCTGTGGACCTGGTGCCTCCACTGTCCCGGCCTGCCCCGCCACCCCCACCTGGCATTAAGGTTTTACCATCGCCACATTCTGCAGGGAGTAGAAATGCTGGGCAGTCAATCTGACATTTAGGGTTCCCCTGAAAGTGCACCCCCACTTTTCACTAACGAGTGAGGCCACTTTGTTGAGTGTCTGGTGGGAGGGAGCACTAACCGTGTCCTCTGGAATCCCGTAAGCTGGCTGTGTGTAGCTGTAACCCCGAGGCCCAGACTAGCACTATGGACACAGCCCCAAGGCCAAAGCCAGACCCCTAGGAAGCCCCCAGAGCCACGGGTGTCCAGGGGTCCGGGTCAGAGACCCTCCACGGTCAGCAGTCCTGACCCACTTCAGGGCAGTTACACATGGCACTCACGGGACAGGCAGTGAGGGAATTCCACTGGCAGTCTCCCCTGGGGACACCACATGTTAGGTGTTCTTTCTTTAAGACTTTTTCCTTTCAACGAACCCCCCTGAACTCCACACCTCAGGACCATGATCTTGGGGGAGTCTCAAGGTCAATTGGTGCAACAAGTTCACAAAGACATCGCTCCACTTTCCACTTTTGCGCGTAGGGTCTGGGGTCACAGGAGCTTGTGAATGGCCTGCGATTGCTCTCTTCCTGCCCAGTGATGGCAACTGAGGTGCGTGGAAACAATCCACCCAGAGGACTGTCGCACCACACACGCATCTCAGCCTCCATAACCCGAACAGCTAGAGGGGCCAGCTACCTCTCCGCCACTCCGAAAGGGATCACACGAGAGGAACCTGAACAGAATGAGAAGCGAGTGTGCAGCAAATCTCAGAGTCACTGAAAAAAGAAACAAAACCCCAAACGCCTCGGCTTCCTGGTTGGCTGGAGACTGGCAGAACCCTTGAGACAATGGTTCTGAGTCAACCTTCAAGGCTGGAACTCCACTCCCCACTCTGGCTCCATCTTCAGCCAACAGGAGACAGGTCTAGAAGGTGAACAGGGACACTAGAGAGGAGCACCCTCCTTCGAAGCAGCAGCCATTTGCCATCGGAAGGCAGCATCCGCCCAAGGGCACAGTTCAGAAGGGAGGGAGGGCAGGGCAGGAGGACGACGGGTAAGAGCAAATGGGAGGGATGGAGTGATGTTACACTGTGGGGCCGGCAACATGACATGAAACAAGACAGGTATGGATTGTTGAGTAGAACCATGATTTGCTCTGTGCACTTTCACCCCATTCACAATCAAAAGTAAAACAAATTTTAAAACACCCTCCACCCCCAAACACTTCATTTCACTCCTGGAAAACATTTACTACAAGCACATGGATCTGTGAGGCCCAGGATGCCAAGGTGACCCTGTGCTGAGCCTGTCTTGCAGAGCCAGGTGGTCGGGCCTGGCCTCCACCAGATCTGCAGCCTCAGTTGGGAACCAATCAGGGATAATGACGTGAAATGGCCACACGTTTTCCTATAGGAATTGGGAGCTATTTTCCTTATAAAAATACGATTTCATTAATAATTAGCTGGATACTGGACTAAAATATTATTCACCTGTGTCTACCTGTCATTTGAAGAGTCAGTGAGGCACAACTCAGATTCTGGAGCGAGCACGGGCCTGCCTGTCTCAGCTCCCTCCACTGGCAGAGTGTAGGCTGCTCGTGCTGAGGCTCCAGCCTGTCCTTTCAGACTGGCCCGGGCCAGGACCCCCCCTGAGAACATACCAGCTGGTTGGGATTGTTTGCAATGGGCTTTCTCACTTAGCTGCAATGCTGAGCAGGGGCTGGGCGCTGTTGGAAAGGGTGCAGGGTCAGGGGAGGGCTGTGCCTGGAGTGTAGGAAGCAGGCAGCCGATAGGGGAGGAGTCAGATGGGCCTGCCTTCTCTAGGAGGTAACAAGCGCTACACTCAGAGATTAGACGAGGAGAAGGGGACTGTGTAAAGTGCAGTGTGAGCTAAGAGATGCTCCCCACATGGCCCTAATCGGAAAGAATGTAGAGAACTCTGTAGTTGGTGCAGCACCTGTCTACATGGATAGGTATGATGGTGAGTCAAAAGGTAGTGCTCTTAGGCTTCCAGGTCGATTCCAAACGAAATGTTTTTAAACACGCCTCTGCCAGAGGATGGCTGCAGACTCGCCCTCGCAGTCATGTACTTGGCTTAGTCCAGCGGTTCTCAACCTGTGGGTCGCGACCCTCACCTGATTCATAACAGCAGCAAAATGACAGGTATGAAGTGGCAACGAAAATAATTTTATGGTTGGGGGGTCACCACAACATGAAGAACTGTATTAAAGGGTCGTGGCATTGGGAAGGTTGAGAACTGCTATCTTAGTCTGTTACAGTGCCCTCGGGAGATTCGGCACAGCTGG